ACCACAGACATCATCTAGCTAGATGAATAAATTGAGGCCCATGAAGACAAAATTGTTTATCCCAGTAAGCAACAGGATTGCAGCCGGAACTTCCATTACTTGGGTCTTAATCAGTGAAGGATGTTTATTAGAGTCTCAGTCTGTTTTCTCTTGCTTTAACAAGATACTGGAGACTGGTAATTTATAAGCAATAGAGTTTTACTTATCATTCCAGAGGCTGGGAAGTTCAAGAGCACGGTGCTGGAATTTGCTTGGCATTTGATGAGGGTCTTCTAGCTTAGGTCTTTCTGCTTCTTCCCATAGACCCCCAGTGCTATCATGGGGGCCTCACCCTCATGACATCTCATCCTACTTACTTCCCAAAAGTTTTGCCTCCAATTACTGTCAACATATGAACCTGGGGATTGGGTTTCCAACTTGTGAATTTGGGGGTCACATTTCAACCATAGCCATCAGAGAGTATTTTGGTGATTGACACCTGTAAAAAGGAAAAGAGGGATGCCAGATTAAGGGAGGGAGATGCTTGAGCTGTAAAGCAGCCTGACCACAGAAGCTGAGGCTGAGATGGCCTGCAGAGTTGGCACACAGGGCCTTCCTACCCCCACATGGCCCAGTCACGGCTGTGGGCTCTGGGATGCGCCTTGGCTTTCAGTGGAGGAGCTCCTTCCAACCTTCACAGGGTGGATGTGGGGAGGGTTTTGCACCTGAGCACTGCATCCAGAGGGGTTATCTGTGTGGGACATCTTCCCGGGACTCTCACTTCCTCCTAAACAGGAGATTATTGGCTCAAACTATTTTGCCTCAGAAAGCAGACAGAACCCAGTTGAGAAGTTGCTACATAGCAGATTTGTTTTTGAAGAGAACCCTGGACAGAAATAATAATCTTTTTGCTGTCAGCCTACTAGATTATAATTCTGTTTACTCTGATGGAAACTAAAGGTAAGAACAGAGTCTTGGGTTAGGGGGAAGAGACAGGGAGAAAGAAGGAGAAGGAGAAGGAGGAAGAAGAGGAGGAAGGGGAGTGGAAGGGGAGGGGGAGGAGGAGAGGAAAAGTGGGGAGGGCAAGGGAAGGGGAGAGAAAGTGGGAAGAAGGAAGGAAAGAAAAGAAAGGAAAAGAGAGACAATGATACCAGAGCAGGGGCAAGATCATTATTGACTGTTTTGTGTATTTCCACGCAATCACTGATTGTGCATCATTTTAAAAAATTTAATTATTGTCTGATATAAGTTTAAAGTTGGCCCTTCCTGTTGAGAGAGTCTTGGACCACTAAGCCCAAGGGCAGTATGGGGTGGTGGCTAGCAGCAGCATGGCTCTTAGAATCAGATTCCCGACTCATTTTCTCCAGTTTTATCTCATATGGATGGGTGACTGTAGGTCTCAGGTTCCCAGGTCATGCTAGAACTTGTTTCAGAAAGTGGTTGACGAATTTTACTCTGAGGCACCTGGAGCTGACATTTCTCTCCCTCACTCACACCCTTTTAATATCATCCTTGTTGGCTCCCCTGGAACCTCCTTTTCTTCTCATTGTAAGGACTTCGGCTGTATCTTCAACCCATTGTTAATTGATCTGCTGTCCTCCCTAGAGACACTATTTTTTTTCTTGAATTAGGTCCACTGGAATGGGGGCTATTCTTTTCCCTGCCATCTGAAATCTGGGAGGGAGTTAGCCAGCATTGTCCTCTGTCTGTGTCTAGATGTCACTTCATTTTCCTTCTGTGAAAATCCTCTTGGTTTTGGGTTGTGCTATCCATCTAAACCACCCTACTATGCAGTGGATCCCTGACATTTACTGACCTTCTGATCTCTCGCCCTCATTATGGGAGATCTTGTCACATGGTTCATGGTCTCCATCTCTTGATCACCATGTGTGGGACAATTTGATGTCCACAAACATAACCCCAAACATGGTAGCTTCTAAGGCTTCTTCATCTCAGAAGCATTCATCCTCACTACACCTGGGCACCCTGCCCTCTTCACAGCCCCAAACAGACTCACCTCTGAAAACGTCAAGAGCAGTAGCCCCTATTTTGGGTGAGACACCCCCAAAACACAGACCTGAAGAGGAATTCTAATACAAAGAGTTTGTATGGGAGCAAATGCCAGCATGGAGATAAAGGACCAAGAGAATGAGGGCAAAGACGCTAGTCAAGAGCACATGCCAAGGAAGCTCCCCCAGTGGGCAGTGGGAACTGCCTCCCACTGGAAGACCCTGGCAGGAAGCGGAAAAGTCCCAAGAGTCATCCCACCTGGGGGAAGGGGAAGGAGCTGGGCTAGAGATTCACTAGTTCCCATTGGTCATTGGCTGAGGGTTGATTCTAAGGGGCAGTAACTGCCCAGGGGCCTCAAAAAGAACTGAGGCAAAAGCAGGTGAGTCTGACCAGAGTTGAGGGTATAGAAATGGGGGCTGCTGCAGGACACTGGGGCACTCTGGCAGCATGGCTTCACCTACCATTTTGGCTTTCTTAATCATGCATTTTCTCTAAATGTGTATTTCATCTTTATAGAGGCCTCTAATCCTTTGGTTTATCCATTTCCAGCTAACTATTGGCCTCTTGGGGACCACAATTCCTTCCATATGGAGCCTAGATCCCAAGACCAATTAGAACTTCTTTCTCTTAAGCTGCTCAGTTTCATTGTTTTCTTGTATCTTTTTTTTTTTTCCTTTTTTCTTTTTTAACCACAATTTAGGATTTCCCAACCAAGCTCAGACTATCATGGCTAGCAAGAAATGCCCACCCAGGCAAACTGGTGCCACTGTAAATTAATGGGAGTCAGACTCTTCCATTTCTTTTTCTTTTTTTCTTTGTCTGCTCTCCCTTTAATAACTCTCAGCTACTCATTAAGCTTTCCTCCTCTTTCAGACACCTTCTCAGCTTTTACTCCTTCCATCCCCAGCTAATGACTCACCCAAGTCACGAGAGAGGGTTGTCTATATTTACTGTCTCTGGTTTCCTCTCCTGGCTATTCCTCAACCCATCCCAGTGTGATTTCTGGCTCCATTGGGTTGCCTTCCATGCCAACCTACTGGATATGTCTACAATTATTTTTTTTTCTTAGTAATACTCTTAGACATCCTCTCTTTCTGGAACTTTGTCCACCACCTATTTTCTTTTCCCCAAAATATGTTGGGTTTTTTTCCTTATATTTTTGCTCATTTCTTCTGTCTGAACTTTTATCATCTTCTATCTAGCCACTGAATTGTTGAGCTCCCCCAAATTCTAAGAACTCTCCTTTCTTTTATACTCTGTCCATAAACAATCTTGTCCTATCCATGCTGACTTCTATATTTTCATTTGGACTTCTCCTTTGAGATCCAGGCTTATAGGGCCAATAGTCTACTTGCCATCTACTCTTTAACCTTTCAAAGACACATTAAAATCAATATATTCAGAAGTAAATCCATGATATTCCTCCCAGATCCAGACCACTTACAGTACCCTTCTTTGTAATCCACCCAACTTGGTGCAGATCGAAAATCTAGGAACCAGCCTCAACACTCCTTCCCATTATGCTCTCTGAAATTTTTTTTGAAAGCATCTTCTCTTTCAGTTTTCACCACTGTCCCCTTTTCCAAGCTATAGTCATCTCTTCCCACTGGTCTATCTTCCCTCACTGGTCTATCTTGCCCTCTCTGGGCTTCTCTACTCCATTCTCCAAGTCACAGCTAAGCTCAGCTTTATGAAAGTTTGTGAAATATAAATGTGATCATAATGAGCTCATCTCCCTACCCACTTTAAAACTTGTCAATGGTTTCTTAGTGCTTTGGGGATCAGGATGAGCCCTGCTGCATGCCTTGCAAGGACCCACCTGGCCTGGCCAGGTCAGTCTTTCACTATACTCTACCTCACTCTTCCTGCTCCGACCACACTGACTATCTGCTGATCCTGGGATTTCTGAAACTCCCCACTGTACAAGGCTTTCGCTCATATTGAGTCTTCTTCCTGTCTTTCCCTGTTAGTTGACTCTAATACATGGACTGGAGTTACATCACTTCACCAAGTGACATGTCCTTATGTTGATAAGAGTCTTGACTTGTGTGCAATAAGAGTTTATCAGTAAGAGGAATTGACATGCTCATCAGGAAGGCTTTGATATATGTGAGTTCTATAACCTCATATTGAACTATATAATTTGCTGTAGCACCTACCATAGTTGCAATTTTGCATTTATTTTATGGTGATTTTTAAATGACTACTACTCTCCCAGGTTTTAAGTTCCAAGAGAACACAGATGAAGCCTAAGGTGCAGGGTACTTAGCAGGGACTCAGAAAATAGTGATTGAAATAATGATGTGATGGATGAATGACTTCTTTCTCATTTTCTAGGGAATATTGAGTTCCTAGGTGTAACTGACTTCTTTTTCCAACACAGACCCTAATAAGGCATCTCTGTTCTAGATGAAGCCCCTTACCTCTGCTTTTAGCCACATACCCTCTCTCATCTAGTTCTGATCATTCTATTCTTGCCATTAATATTTTAGGTCCCATTGGGAAAAATACCTTTCCTAACTTAGTACTTTGTCTTTTTCCCCTTACAAATTCCCCCAGATAAATAATCCATACTAGCTATCTCCACTTTTAATTTTCATTGTGCTCTTATCTATTCTTGTGACTTTGACCTTAAAGTCAATCTTTTTCTTGGACCCCAAACTCAGATAACAATTGCTGCTTCAATATATTTATCTGCATGTGTCAGGCCTTCTTTAATGTACCCTATTACTTCCCTTTCAAAACTTTTCCTTTTCTGCTACTTTAGAACAGGTAAAGAGAGCTCCCTTACTCAGTTACAAGGATGGTTATCCCAGTCTACCCATGTCAATTAGTCATCTAGTCTGGGCTGCTATATTTTTAAAAAATGTTTCTGGCATCTCTGCATTCATCAGTACGGTAGCTCAACTTTAGTTCCTGAACCACAGAGAGAGCTTTTGAGTCGCCTCCTGGCTCAGCCTGGGTGTGACTCAGTGTTATTAGTCAGCTTTTCACGGCTGTGACCAAAATACCTGATAAGATCAACTTGGAGGAAGACAAGTTTATTTTGGCTCATGTTTTCAGAGGTTCAGTCCAGGGTTGGATGATTCCATTGCTCTGGGCCCAAGGTGAGGCAGAACATCATGGCAGAAGGGTGTGGTGGAGGAGTGTTGCTCAGCTCATGGCAGCTGGAAAGCAGAAGGAGAGGGAGGAAGAGAGGAGGGGAGAGAGAGAGGGGAGAGAGAGAGAGAGAGAGAGAGAGAGAGAGAGAGAGAGAGAGAGAGAGAGAGAGAGAGAGCGAACAAGAGTGAGCACACAGGGGCCAGGAACAAAAAATAATCCCCCAGGGCATGCCCCCTGTGATCTACTTTCTGTAGCATGCCCCACCTGCTTCCAGAAATGATAAATCCATCAAATGGATTAATCCATTGATGAAGTACAGCTCTGATAATCTAATCATCTCACTCTGACCATTCCTGCATTGCCCAGCATATGAGCTTCTGGGGGGGACATTAAAGATTCAAACCGAAACATTCAGTATTTGCTTTGCTGGAGTGATCTTTCTAAAGCACAAATCTGATCATGTGTAACCCACTCCCCTCCAGGTTCAGACCCTTTAATAGTTCCCACAGGCTCCAATGCCCTGATGTGGCATGCAAGTTCCCATGAGGCTCTATCTTCACCTTCCTCTCCAGCTCCTTCCCTTGTCCTTGATGATCTAGATATTCCCTAGTCTTTGCTTTTCTTGTAATGCAGGAAGTTGCCCTGCTTTATGCTTCTGTCCTGTTTCACCCACAGCTTTTGTCTCCTTGTAGCATCCTCTCTGACCTCTGGGAATATGGAGAACCCCCTACTGATACTGCAAGTTTCAGGTCAATAAGTCCTTGTCTTGTGTAGTGGCCCCTGACATTCCCAAATAGCATTGACTATTCCCAATGTACCAGCTACACATTCTATTAGAACTTGTGCAGGCAAAGCTGCTGCAGAGCAGAGGATTCTTAAGGTTGTGGACTGAATAAATTTTGGGTCTTTGTTCACCAAATGATGCCCAATCAGCCAATCACACATCACAGCTCTGCTTTTGAACCATTTTTTTCCTTTCTTTGTCCTTAAAGATCATGGGAATAGGAAAGGAGGCATAAAACAATTAAAAATGTAAGACGTGGAACACGTGTGTTGGAATGCCATGCTAACTCAAGAGGCATGGAGTACAGGTGTGTGCTGAGTCAGGGTGCTTATGTGTGCAATGCAGGAGCTTAAAGAAAGGCTCTATTGTGCTTTGATAGTCCATACTTAAGTGGCCAACTGTGCAAAAGGTATGGCAAGAAGGGGCTGGCTTGGAGCAGTAAGATCATTAAATAACATCAGAGCAGGAAGAGGTGGGAGAGGTGGACCATTTAAATAAAAATAAACAAATGAAAAGTAGTCACTGCAAATCAAGAGGAGGCTCTACCATATCTTCATGGGGTTGATGGCAGGTGTTGGCAAATGGGGGTCTCTCAAGTCAGCCTCCTCCCAGGGCTTGAGTTCCCTATTGTGTGGAGTCTGAATGGAGCCTGGGTAGGGTGGGGGTCTTCCCATGCTTGCTCCCTCCCCTACTGGATTGAGAGCTTCTTTAGACCAGGAGCTGAGACTTGATGGTCACCAGCATGGTGCATGGTACCACACCCATCGTGAGCTCTCCATACCCTTCCTAGCCAGCAGGTGAAAAGAAAAGGGAGGTTTATGAACTTTGACCAGAACAGGATAACAACGGTAGTCAAAACAAATGCTTTTAAACCAGGTTCCTGATGCTTTTCTAAGTGCTTCGTATGTACTGACTAATTTTATCCTCATATGGAAATATCCTAGTAATTACCATCTTGTTGATGGTAGGGACGTCAAGTAACCTGCCCAAGGTCACACAGCCTCCAGTAAGGAAGCAGGACATGACTGCACACAGCAGCCTGGCTCCAGAGCCTGTTCTTTATACTCTTCTGCCACCCACCTGTTGTCTGAAGAGACGTTGAGGATTTTAATGAGTACACTTGGTGTCATGGATCTACACAAGCTCAGTGGGTTTTGCTTACTTATTTTCTTTTTTGAGAAAGTCTATCCCTGTTTGTTCACGGAGACTGTCCTCTCTGACTCACATTGCAATCTCTTTTCCCTTGTTCCTGGTGGGTGAGTCAGGAAGGAGAGACACCGAATGTTTGTTCCAGTGGGACCTTTCACTGCATGTCCCCTGAGCTACTCATCTCTCCTTTATGGTCGATTCCTACTCTAGGTAGATATCAGGGAGGTTTTTCTCCACTTGTCTTTTTGCTTTGGTATTGGTTTTGGGGAGAGGAGGCTAGGAGTCACCAGACCTATCTTTGGGAACACTTGGGAGCATGAGTTTCCCCTCCTTGCTGCCTGCAGAGCAGCTGATGCAACTCTTTTTCTCCAGCTAGGCTTTCCCTATGTTCTTCGTTACCTTTTGTGAATTAGGCATTTTTGTAGTTTGGTTCCATGTTGTCATCTTACCGCAAAGAGGAATACTTATATTTCTTCCAGAAACTTTCATAATTTTCCTTTATACCTACCTGAATCTCTCTAACCTGTGGTGAGAATTGAAAGGCAGACTTAATAATTTAAGGTCTATGAGTCTGAAGTTTCTTGGCTAAAATAAAAAAAAAATTCACACTTGTCTTGCATTTTATGAGGCTTCATCATTTTCTTTGGATCCCAACAGGCTTTTAGACACATACATGCTAACATTTTTGTAGTATATACTAATAAATAAGAGCTTTGATATTTTTACTTTAGCTCTGAGGGAGAAAACAGGCATTGTGTTTAAAAGGTATGGAATCAACAACCAAGGCCGGATTCTAATTCATTTTTTGATTTAGATCTTTAAAAACATTTAGTTTAAAATAATTCATCCCCCCCGACCCCACCCCAGGGTCTAGTCTTTTCTAATTATGTTGTTGGTTGGCCTGAGCATGTGTGAGTGCTGGTCTTCACTCTTCCTCTTCATGAAGGCAGGAAGGATTCTTAGATTTCCTCAAAATAGGACAGCATTCCCTTATAATAAGGTAGCCCACACTTACATGTTAAGGATAAAAAGGTCCGTGGATTTCTGCCCTTAATTCTCTCTAAATTATATTTGGTTTGGTTTTAAAAATGTCCTCAAAATGATGCATGGTGATAAAACTTCAGTTCCAAAATTGGGATTTGGTATATTCCTAGCGATGGCAACTGAACCTCCTTATAAGATTTTATGAAGAGTTGAGTGAAGGTGCTTTCCTGGGATTAAGCAAAGTTCTGTTTGGAAGAAAAACTGTTAACTATGGATTAAGGGTGGCTGGGTTTCTGATATGAGGGATTTCAGTTGCTTGAGTCATTTACACATAGGCCACAAGCACTGATTTTTAGTTTGGACAACACAAACTCTGTATTAGTTTCTGCAACAAACTGCCACAGGTTAGGCAGCTTAAACAGTACAAATTTATTTTCTGGCAGTTCTAGAAGCTGGTAGTCCAAGATCAAGGGGTTGGCAGGGTTGGCTTGTCCTGAGACCTCTCTTGGATTTATAGATGTTGTCTCCTCATCCCTGGGTCCTCACATGGTCTTCTTTTGTGCACACATGTCTCTGTCCTGGTATTCTATTCTTATAAGAACACTAGTCATATTGGGCTAGGGCCCACTCTAAAACTTCATTTTATCTTAATTACTTCTTTCAAGGTCCCATCTCCAAATAGAGTTGTCATCTGAGATAATAGTGCAGGAATACAATCCAGCCCAGAACAGTCCCTGTAGATATTTGGTTTTTTAGTCCAGGTAGGTACTAGGGACCTGAACTTTTTCAGGTCATCCTGGCTATGTTAGTTTTCTGTGGCTGTAACAAAATGCTGAGGTAACCAACTCATAAGGAGAAAAGGTCTATTTTAGCTGACTGTTTGTCCATAATTGGCTGGCCCTGTTGCTTCGGGCAAGGCAGAACATTATGACAGGAATACATGACAAATCAAAATTCCTCCCATCAAGAGCCTGGGAGCAGGAGGAAGGAAGGAATCAGGGTCATCTCACAGTCCTCTTTGGGGACATGTCTCCAGTGACCTGGACTTCCCACAAGGCCCCACCTCTTAAAAGTAGCACCTCTCAACAGCACCACCCTGGGGACAAGCCTTGAATCACTGGCCTTTAGGACATTTAAGAGCCAAAGTATAGCAATGGCCCTATTAGTTTTTTTATTTTTTGAGAATTTTTTTTTAATATTTATTTTGTTTTTTAGTTATCGGCCGACACAACATCTTTGTTTTGTATGTGGTGCTGAGGATTGAACCCGGGCCGCACGCATGTCAGGCGAGCGAGCTACTGCTTGAGCCACATCCCCAGCCCAACAATAGCCCTATTCAAAGTGGCTCATTAGTACATTGAAGAACAATGATGTTGGCATACTACTTGATACCACCAAAGAATAAGGAGTATTTTAATCCCAGAAAAGTTATAAGATATATAAAACAATTCATTATGATTACCTAATAAATATAAGAACCAAGAGTACTTTTAGATAATAATAGCTCAGTCTACCAATTGCAGATTAGCCTACCAGTCATGATTAAATGACATCTCAGGACTTATTAAGTAATTAGCATTGGTATTAATATGTTTTCTTTTTTTTCATTTTTTAATTTGTTTTAATTAGTTACACAGTACAATGATCTTGACATATCATACATTTGAATCAGATGTTTTCTTCATCCATTGTGGGGCAAGCGCTTTGCTTGTCTTAGAGAAGATACCTTGAGAGGTCCTTGAGACGTTACTCTTCTTGTCCTTGAGAGGTTCCTAGCTTAGGATGACAACTAGTTTGAGATCCAGACACAGCAGGGCCTCATGTGGGAGTAAACCAGATGTCAGTGGCCGCCCACCCACCTTCCGAGTCCAGATCAGATCTGCTTCAATGCCCTGTCCTGCAGGCACATGTCTCGTGATCTTGCCCACATTTCGATACATCCTGTCATCCTCCCAGCCACCTCTGATTTCAGCTTCTGGCTTCTTCTCAGTTTTTGTCCCCTCTCTGTCTTGCAGCTCTTCCTTTATTGTTCCCTTGGAGTTATTCCAAGCTTGAGACACAGCCCTTGATTCTTTGCTCCCTCTGTTAAAGTACATCGTAGGTGAAGCAGCTGTGCCTGGGAGATCTTTGCTGGTGATTTGATGGCAAGGAAGGATACCCTAAGTCCTGGACCTGCCTGTCTTCACAGCATTACTTGGGCATTTCCATCAAGTCTGGTTTCAATTCCCTACAATCTGAGAACTCTCCGACATCTACTTCTCTTCTTTCCTACTCTTCCTCTTTTCTCTGTTCTTCCCTTCCTCCCTCACTCCATCCTTCTGATTCCTTCATGAATTAAGCAATGCTGTTAAACACACACACACACACATACACACACCGTAGATTACCTCCAAATTACACCTTCAGGCCTTCCTCTCTACCCTTTTTTAAAAAAAATCTTTATTTATTTATTTATTTTTATTGTTAGATGTTCAAAACATTACATAGTTCTTGACATATCATATTTCATACATTTGATTCAAGTGGGTTATGAACTCCCATTTTTACCCCGTATACAGATTGCAGAATCACATCGGTTACACATCCACGTTTTTACATATTGCCATACTAGTGTATGTTGTATTCTGTTGCCTTTCCTATCCCCTTCCTATTCCCCCCTCCCCTCCCCTCCCCTCCCATCTTCTCTCTCTACCCCATCTACTGTAATTCATTTCTCTCCCTTATATTATTTTTCCCCTTCCCCTCACTTCCTCTTGTATGTACTTTTGTATAACCCTGAGGGTCTCCTTCCATTTCCATGCAATTTCCCTTCTCGCTCCCTTTCCCTCCCACCTCTCATCCCTGTTTAATGTTAATCTTCTTCTCATGCTCTTCCTCCCTGCTCTGTTCTTAGTTGCTCTCCTTATATCAAAGAAGACATTTGGCATTTGTTTTTTAGGGATCGGCTAGCTTCACTTAGCATAATCTGCTCTAATGCCATCCATTTCCCTGCAAATGCCATGATTTTGTCATTTTTTAGTGCAGAGTGATACTCCATTGTGTATAAATGCCACATTTTTTTTATCCATTCATCTATTGAAGGGCATAGTTCTAGTTCCAAAATGAGGTGCTGGAGCTAACTGAGGGTAATGAGTTTACTTAACTTTAAATCCATGCAAAGGGATTAAGTATTAGCAACTGTGCAGGAGAGATTTACATACATTCTGTGAAAATTTAGGTGAAGAAATGACTAGGGACACCTGCAAGTGTTTGGACCTTGTCACAGGAGGTGACTCTTTACCTCATAGGATAAAGAGGAGAGAATGAACCCTCCTCCCCACTCTTCACTGAAGGAGTAGCACAGGTGGTGGAGTAAAGACTCCTTTGGCTTGTAGGCGAGGAAGGGAGAGAGGGGGACCTTTTCCTCACACAGCATAAGGCTCATGGTTGACACCTTTATTACAAAAGTCAGATGAATGAGAGAAAGCACAACAAATTCATTTAATAAAGTTTATGAGGCATGAGGACCTTCAGAAGTAAAGACCCAGAGACCCTGGGGAAATTGTATCCTGTGCTAAGGGTGATGAAAGTAGACAGGAGTGGAGAAAAGTGAGAGCTCACAGTGGGGTTGTTCTAATGGGAATAAACCCGGGTAGGGGAGGCCCTGCAAGGCCTGCTTGTTTACAATCCTTTTCGTGCCTCTGCAGATGGGGAAGGACACCTGCTGCAAGCACACTTTTGGGGTGGTGGTGAAATGAGTGACCTTTCTCCATTTTATGGCTTACTTTGGGGGAGAATTCTAGCTTCAATGAACAGCTTAGGTGCTGCAAAGGGAAAAAGAGAGAGGAGGACAAGAAAAGGACAGAGGGAGAGTCTTGCTGGAAATGTCCTCTAAAAGGGATATTTCTTAATTCTCTTGAAAAATGGTAGTTCAGACTTTTGGGCAACTAAGCCTCAAGAGTCTCATCTGGAAAACAGTTTGGCATCTAACAGCCCATAATTGCTACCAATGAACTTACTTTTTCTAAAAAGTTTAAATTTTCCTTTCCACATGTAATTTGTTTTTCTGTGCTTGGCTTATTTCCTTCAGTTCCATAAACTTTGCCACAAAGGACATAATTTTATTCTTTTTTGTGGTTGGGTAGTATTCCTTTGTGTATGTATCCCACATTTTCTTTGTCTGTTCATCCATTGATGGACTCCTTGGCTGATCTCATATCTTGGCCATTGTGAATAGTTCTGCAGCAAACACTGGAGTGCAAGTATCTCTTTGATATAATGATTTCATTTCTTTGGATATAATATACCCAGAAGTGGGATTTCTGGGGCACCAAAATACAGTTAGAAGAGAAATGAGTTCTGGTGTTATCCCACTATAGCCTAGTGGGGTAACTATAGTCTACAACAGTCTATGAAATATTTCAAAATAACTACAAGAGTTCAAATGTCCTCAAAGCATAGAAATTAAAATTCGAGAAAGTAGAAATGCTAAATTACTCCAATTTGATCCTTACACCTTGTATATGTGTATTGAATTATGTTATACCCCATAAACATGCACAAATATTATGTCAATTTTTAAAAAGCTTATAAAAGAATTGCCATTCACAGGCAGCACTTTTTCTATTAACCCCTTCTCTACCAGAAGTCCGGGAGCACTGGAGCAGAGGGCTGGAGTCTAGGGCAGTGAAGATGAGAGTGAGGATGAGGGATGGATCTCTTTATCTGAGTGAATAACTGTTTATTTTTATAGTCATCTCTGAGGCTGTTAATGGGCAAAAAGGAAATCTGTAAGGACTCTGAGTTTATTTTACAGTAAAACCTAAAGAACATAATTGTAGGACTTTAGACAAGGCCTTAATTATGATCTGATATTATTTCAGAAACTTCACTATGTGGCTCTTTTGAAGTGATCTCCCAAGTTGCAGGAGGGCCTATCTCCCAGAATGCATGCAAGAAAATATTAAGAGAAAATTGGACACAGATGAATTCTTTAATCTGCAAAGTTACTACTAGTAATAAATGCTAAGCTTTACTGATATTTAATATGTACCTTGAGAGTAAGTGGTACATGTGCATAATTTCTAAATAAATGTCATATCAAAAATAACTCCTCAGAAATATTTTATTAATAGGGACACATGATCCAAAAAGTTTGGACTCAGTATATAATAAGACGAGAAGCAAGCAGGCCAGATGGAGGCAGATGGGCTTTGGCATTAAGGGAGATGTCGGGGTGGAGAAGGGGGGATACTGGACCATTGGGATAAAGAGGAAGAGGAAGATGGGAATGAAATTTGGGAGCTAGGTTCTATAGGATTTGATGATTGATGCATTGTGAGTGAACATTTGATAAAACCCTTACCCCTCTTTGAAAAACGAATTACCTTCTTAGTACTTCCTCAGACCTTCCATCATCCTATTATGGCAAAGCACCCTAGTTATTTACTGGCCTTTTCCCCTCTCAGCCATTTGGAGCTGTATCCCCAGTAATTCAGTGGTTGATAAATAAATGTTGCAATGTGAATATTATACTAAATGTTTTAAGAGCTCACAAGTAGCTAATTTTCTTGAATAAGACAGTGTTCTTAGAATTTTGCTTCGTGAGAGTAATACTAATGCATTATGATATGCTCTGGAATTAGGGTTCTTAAGACAAGTTTTAGGATTCTGTATTACAGCTTGGAAATTATTGGGTTCAGTCATTTGTTGATAACTGTTATTTGAAATTTACATGGTAATTAAGGACACTATTGAGCACTCATATTTTACCCATTGCAAGTATTAGACTTAAAATTCACCATAAAAACTATTTTCCCCTTACAAAAATATGGGTCAAAATTAGCCATAAAAGTTATTTTCAAAGCATTTCCTTTCGGACACTTAAGGAATGCTGACTATTCAACCATCAGTAGTTGCATGAAGAGGATTTTGGTCCCATGATCTGGCTGAAGCTTTGCACAAACAGCTGCTTATCTCATGAATGGAATTTCCTGTTAATATTCTTGCAGGCTAATTGTTCATCAAAAGTATAACAAATGTCAACAAGTATCACAAATGTGTTGCGTCTCAGTATTTAAGAGACAGCAGAAATAGTTCAGATGTTTAACTTGCTTGTGCTTAAAAAGCAAAGCTTCAGCTCTTGTCACAGACTACTCTTAATAGGATTAATGCTACTCAGAGAGACCATTTGGTTCCAATGCCCTCTTTCCTTTTAATTTATGACAACATGTGGCTTAAGATAGGTTAAAGGAAGAGACAAAATCGTCACTTCAAACACTGATGTTTGCAGTACCTTTGGATGGATTTCTATATATTTCATCCCAACTACCTATGGAAATAAATTTTCTTAGAATTAAAAATGCTTTAAGCAGACTCCTAAATTCTTTGGCAGCAACCACAAAGACCTGTACCTTTTAAAGTCAGATGTGGGTCTCTTGGGTAGAGGTCCCAGCAGTAGGATGTAACATCACCAGGACATCAGGATTTGCATCAGAGGTGGAAATTTAGTGTCAATAGAAACTTCCTGGAACACAGACAACAGATTATTTTCAAAAAGCATTTCCAGTGGTTTTTCCTCCCAGTAAAATTAGCATGTTTGCACTAAGGTGTAAACTCCCAGAGCTGTTTCAGGAAGGTGTGCACAAAAAAAATTTTTAGCAAAACATTCTGTTCTCTGTAGCATTATTCGCACCCTATTTTCTTTTCCTGAGGCCTGACAAATTCAGGTGCTGAAGCACTGGAAACCAGCTGCAAGTCTGTTTCATTCCATTCTAGTTGGGGTCAATCTTTGTTCCTCTGATGCAAGTAGAGGCTCCTTATTGTTGGCATGTCCTCCTGAAGACAGGGGTAATACAGGCAGAGCATCCCTAATCCCAAAACCCCAAATCTGAAATGCTCTGAAATCTAAAGCTTTTTGAATGCTGCAAAGGGAAAATTCCACACCTGACCTCCTGTGATGGGTCATGGTAAAAATGCAGACACACTAAAACTATTGCATAAGATTACTTTCATGCCATGTATGCAGAGTGTAAATGAAATACAAATGACTTTTGTGTTTGGGTCCTATCACCAAGATGTCATTATGTGCAAGTATTCTAAAATCTGAAATACTTCTGATCCTCAGCATTTTGCATAAATGTTATTCAACCTGCACCCTTCCAGGTACTGGAGGCCACTTCTTGAGTTACAGGAGGGAGTTTCAATTGTTCCCACATCTGTAATCTTACCTGTTCTGTAGATTTTTAGGCACAAACTCTCTCTCCTCGCATACTTGTTTTGGTATCCAGGATGATTAGCTTCTTTATACCACTGCCACCTTTTTCTCACCCCTGGACAAAGGTTAATGTTATCCACTGGTTACTGGTCTGTGGTCTGTGCTAATGCAGTGTTTTTATAGTTCTGCGCAGCTCAGTACCCTGAAGTACTAATGAAATCATGAATTAAATAAACATTCAGTGAACATCCTTTCCCATATACTCTGCTGTAAGTGGGGTGCACAGGGATGAGTGAGAGATTTTTCCAACCCCTCATAAATTTGCATTAGGAAGATGACATAAGGAAGGTGTTGGCAAACTATGTCCAAGGGACACATCTCAGGACACCACCTGTCTTTATAGGCCCTGCTATCTAGTAATATGTAAGATTATAAAATAGTATGCAACAGAGATGCATGTTACCTATAAGTCTGAAATATTTACTATCTGGCCCTTTAGAGCAAAAGGTTGCTCACCCTTGACACAAGGACTGTAATGCAAAGGAAAATATTTCAAGATCCTTATCAGGAATAAGATTAAAAGGCCATTGGGATCCAGAGCAGGGAAATACCACTCTTGATACATGGGATCAAAGAAAGGCCTGGGTGGATGGAGGAAGTAAGCTATAAAGAAAAGGTGGTATTTCAATGGAAGGAAATGGAACAGAAGTCCCCCCCCCCCTGCCCAGGGTGAGGGAAAAGGGAAAAAGAGGAAAGAATCCCTTATGGCTTCTCACTCCTTAACTGCACTAGGTAAATCCCTGGAAAACTTTGAGAATAGATTCTGCCAAACCCTAAAATTGAAAATAAATGGAAACAAATGCCTAACTGTATCAGGTTGGAAATATAACCACACAGAATAAGAAGTATATTAAGTAACTTTTGAACTCAGTGCTCATGGGAAATAAATAGTACAAGGACAAAAAGAACTGCAAAGAAATCTTGAACTTTCCTTAGTCATTTCTGAATGATGGTAAGGCTGGCATTGTAATTAAGACATTAATTTACTTGTGTTGGGATAAAGCAAATTACTATATATGTTAATTTTTTACCAAGAATCAAGATTTCTGATATAAGGAGAAATTGATGCAAATAAAAATCAAAGATGGTAAGAAGATTAAGCTTTAATCAGAAATATTGGCATGTCACAATTTCAATGCTTGTATATACCCTAGTGTTTTATTTAAATGTGTATGTGTGTGTGTGTGTATATGTGTGTGTATTTATACTTAAAGGATCTAGAAGTGTTGACACTACAGTAGCCATGAGACACCTGCTGCTCTCAGACTTGGTTTCCAAGAACCATCAAAAGGAACAGGTTTCTTGGAGAAATGGCTGATTCTTGGCTTGGTTCAGGGAAAGTTCAAGGTGAGGATGGGAGTCTTACTGTGCCAGACAGTGAAAAGTGTCCACGATTAATGAAGTCATATCAAAAGTTCACAGAATTAGATTGACAGCCTTCCCAGTTGGCAAATTTGGGACAATTTGAGCATTAAAAAGAATGATAACTGTTACTGATTGAAAAATATGAAATAAAAACTCTAAATCCAGGGGCTGGGGTTATGGCTCAGGAGTAGAGCGCTCTCCTCGCATGTGCAAGGCCCTGGGTTCTATCCTCAGCACCACATAAAAATGAATAAATAAAATAAAATATCAAAACAACAATAACAACAACAAAACCTCTAAGTCCATAGTTATAAAAAAGAAAGGGAGAATAAGAGAAAAAAAAAGAAGGAGGAAGTCACTTGCTGCTCTTGGAGGTAACACTCATAAAACTCTTGTTCTAAAAATTAGTAATGAGGTGGAAATAATTAGCATTCACTCTGACTTTATAAACAGAACTATAGTTCATCTCAATTTGTTGGGGACATGCTCTTCTTCATGAGAGAATGCCAGCTAAGAAACAAAAAGGATGAAAGAATTTTAAAAGCATCTCTATAAACTCATACATTGCAGGTAGGAATATAGATGGTACAGACACTGTGGAAAAGAACTTGACAGTTTTTTTTTTAAAGTTAAACATTCATTTACTAAATGACTTAGCAATACTATTTCTAAGTATTTGTCCAAGTGAAATAAAAACTTATGTTCACACAAAGACCTGGATGAGAATGTTTGTATGGTTTTATCTATAATTACCCTAAACTGCAAACAACCCAAATGTCACTTAGTGGATAAGCAAACTAATACACCCGTACAATAGAACAGTATTCAGCAATTCAAAGGAAAGGATTATTGACACAGTAACAACCGGGATGGATCTCAAATGTACTTTGCTGATGAAAGAAGCCAAACTCAAATGACAATACAATATTTGATTTTTGATATGTGCCATTCTATAAAAGGCAGATCTAAAGGGAAAGAAAGACATCAGTGGCTATCAGGGGCTGGGGTCAGGGAGGGCTTGACTATAATGGGATGCAGGGAATTTGGGAAGGGTATGGAACTATTCTATCTCCTAGTGGTTGTGGTGGTTATACAAATGTATATATTTCTCAAGATTTGAACAATTGTACAGAATAAAAGGATGAATTTTTACTGTGAATATTGCCTTAGTAGAAAAGTAAAAAAAAAAATGAACATTTTGCAATGATTCTTTCACTGTCATTAGTGGATGCTAAAAATAATAGTTTAAATTTTGTTGAGGAAACAGGGTATTAATGGGCCAGAATTTTACCTCATAGGTTCCTTGTTAATTGCAAATAGAAAAATATATTTAAATGGAGAGGTGGGATGTTTGCCTCTCTAATCAAGGGATCAAACTCACTCATCATGGTACCTGATAGTATGTGTCACCTGATGTGAAGTATCCATTTTCTGTGAGTTGTGTCTTCCAGATGTTTATTCTGAGTCTATTTTTTTTATACTTTAATTTATAGGAAACTCCTAGGAAACGATGTCCAAGTTAAATGACACCATGAAGAGACAATCAGGCCAATATATATTGTCAACTATTCTATCCATCCTCCTGCTTTAAAAAGTTGGTGTAATGAAAAAAATAAATAAAAGGAGAACAATAAACTCAAGAGCCTTAAGGAACAAATACAATGTATACAATTTGATTGAATCTCAGTTTTAAAAAATCTGCTAAAAAGAAGATTTAGGGGACAGTGGAGATGTGCATATGGACTGGACAACAAGAAATTATTGTGTTTATTTTATTACATATGATAATGGTATTGTGGTTATATAGAAAAACATACTTATTTTTGGATAGTTCCATCCTAAAGGACTTATGGATCCAATGTCATAGCTGCATATTATTTTCAAATAGTTCATCTCTCTCTCTCTCTCTCTCTCTTTATATATACATACATGCATATATATGTATATAGTTATATATATATGTATATATTTATATCTGAGATCCATCATATATATGAGATACATAAATGATATATGATATATATGATGGATCTCAGATTTTTACACATTATTCATTGATCTCTCTTTTTTTTCCATACTGAGGATTGAACTCAACCACTGAGCCATGTCCCCAGCCCAATTTTGTATTTTATTTAGAGACAGGGTCTCACTGAGTTGCTTAGCACCTCGTTTTTTGTTGAGTCTGGTTTTGAACTCAAAATGCTCCTACTTCAGCCTCCGGAGCCACTAGAATTACAGGCATGCACCACTGCACCCAGCTTCATTCAATTCTTCTTGATGTTTAAAGTTTTTAATAACAAAAAGTATGGGGAAATATTAATACCAGGTCCTACCCTAGGACTAAATAAGTTAGGATGTGTTGGGGACAAGATCTAAACTCTACCATTTTTAAAAAGTTCCCCTGATACTTTTTAAAAAATAAGCAACCATTTTATTGGGCTCTTGGATTCTGTTGGTCAGGAATTCAGACAGGGCAAAGAGAGGACAATTTGTCTCTCTTCCGCCATGTCTGGGGCTCAGTTGGGGTTCCTTGGTGCCTGGGGACTGGGGTCATCTGGATGCATCTTCATACATGTCTAGCAGTTGAGCCTGGATGTTGGCTGGAACCTTAGCTGGGCAGTTAGCCAGAACATTTCCACTTAGCCTCTCCATGTGGTTGCTCTGCATGGTCTCCAGGTGATTGTAATGTGAAGGCAGCTTTTCCCCAAATATGAATAATCAAAAGCAAGCATTTATTAAAGTTTAGATTCCTGTTCTTTTTCCTGGTCATGGGGTGGCATCTATTAATACTACAGTTAAAAATCACCCAAGTGATTCTAATGAAAATGTAAGTTTGGAAAACATTGACCTAGGGCATCAGCCCTATTGTATTTAAGATTCCTTAT